TGGATGTTGATTTTACCATTAATTTTGTGCATCAAGTTTTTTCCAACACTTGGCAACACTTTTCCATGCTACATTTATTAAGAATTGGAAAGAAGTGGCATTTTCATCTCCTATTAAAGAAGTTCCCAATCTAGTTTGGTCCCCTCTGGATGTTGGTTTTGTTAGATGGGTTTAGAATCCATCATATGGATGGCCGAACCATGCTAGATGGTTGGGCAAAATTTCAAAAAATTTTCTAACTCTTTCGGGAACCAGTTTTCGGTAAATTTGAAAATTGTATTTTTAGGATTGGTCTTGCATTGAACCAGACTAAATTTGGAACCAAATTGAAAGGATATTATACCTAATACAGAGATCGTAAATCTTAGCACCCAAGGTGGAAGTTCATGCCCAATATTAGTCCCAAAATCGGCCTCCAACTGAAGATGGTGCAACGTACGAGAGAATCAATTCAACAACTTTGATTTCAGAAAATCTGCTATCCAACTGGCTTGGATTGAGTGGGATGAGTGAGCTTGAATTTCTTAGATGTTTTCTCTTGCAAAAACATAGAAGAAAACTGACAGAAATCAGTTCTTGTAATGGCTAGGTCATGATGGGTTTTTTGAGAGACAAGAGAGAAGAGAGAGTCCAAGACTGGTTCACCCGCTTCTCTCTTTATCTCTATATGGAGCTAACTCCTAATCTGACTAGGAGATGATCCAAACTTGATTTGGATCAGAACTTTTATTTTCTTAATTAATAAACATTATCCTTCTAAGAGGATAAGTGCTCCATACCCAGTTTTGACCAAAATCACATGACAATTTAAGTTGCCATGTGACAGCTTAACTAATCATATTAGTAATGGGCCTTAGGCCCATTTCTCTTAAAAGCTCACATCCCAAAGTGTTGCATGGCCACTTTGAGCCTGATAGTGTATGGTGTGGGACCTCACGAAGGGCTCACATAAGTCCATGAGGCTTCGACTCCACCTCTAATAGAGATTGGGCTGAATTCACTACTTAGGGCAATGAACACCTGAGCTAATCAGCATGGGCTCAATCTGGGCCCAACATATACACCTAAATGATCATTGGATTCAGCCACCTTATGAAGACCCAAGGATAATGGACTTATGTGAGATAAAGCCCATCAAGTAATCAGCCCTATAATGGTCTCTTACAAGTAACCTCTCGGCCCATAATCATCAGAACACTGTCCGACAGGGAAGGACCTGTCCCCTGGCTAGAAAAGGTGTAGTGTTACATTCTCTGCTCGGATAGATCTTAGGATTAAAACCTTTTGCAAACATTTTTCATAAAATAATAATATAATATATAAATATATTTTGCAAAAGCAAATTTTCAAACACAGATGAAATCCACTGCTGGCAATTTAGGTTTCCATTAGGGAGAGTGTAAACCCTAATATTCACTATGTCCGACAAAGGGATCAATTCTATCACTATGATCACCCACTCAAGTAATTTACTAAATTGCCCCAACATGCCCAGATATTTGACCCTTAATGGATCTCACTAATTGGCACATTAAAGGCAGCCCGATCCACTACTTAGTGTAGTATCATAATCAAGCCTGGAATTATGTGAAACTTTCCAGTTTTGCCCATCTATCTCCAAGGTCCAGGGCATAATTGGAAATTGGTTTGGGTTCAATGTTTCTTCCAAACACCCGCTACCTATGCTTTTGGTCTAACCCTAGAAATTGAGACAAGTTGCCCCAACTATTTGGCAACACACCAATGTTAGCCTTGTCAGGATAAACTCCCCAAGTCTATCCAATGGCTGAGAACATTCTAAACTAACACGAGTCTCATAAGTGTCCATTTTAAGGGGTAATACACAGAAAATATACCAATATAAACATGAAACAATAATATACTTTATTCACTTACAAATAAATGTTCATGTACATTATCTAACTTGTTTTACTGAATTTCGATGGTAGCAATAAAGGAAACGCATGCTCTTCATTTATAGGAGTATTCAAGAACGATGAGGGAAAAATTTTTGCTTTGTATTCTGGTCCTATTGGTAGTGGGGATTCCCTAAGAGCTGAAATCTTGGTGGTCTTGGAAGGGGTAAAGAGAGCACAACAGCTGAATATTAGAAAATTGATAGTGGAAGGTGATTCGATGTTAGTCATTGGCCAGATGCAAAAGGAAGAGATTGTGTTTTGGAAGTTCTTAAATGAGAAAAATAAATTTAAGCAGTTGATCTAGGACATGGAAATTAAGGGCCTGTTCGTTTGCTCTGAAGTCTGACATCTGAAAGTGCAATAATTACATTAAGCGGTATATTGGTATTGGTGAACTTTTCTTTCCTCTGAACTCTGAATGCAGAAAATGTTGTTCTGAATTCTGAAAATTATCAAATATCCATTTTAACCCCATATATGAGAGTTTTTGTTTGTCTTTTTGGGGGTATCATTGGAAAACAAAAAGTTGTATGATTGCACTTTAAGAGATAAGAGATAAGAGGAAACGAACAACAGTTTTTCTCTTAAAGTTAAAAGATTCCTCTTAAGAGTTAAGAGGAAACGAACAGGCCCTAAGTTTCAGTGGATTAAGAGAGTGCAAATTCATTGTGGACTTACTTGCCAAACAAGGGGTGGGAAGAGTCTTTCTTTTTTCAGCAATGTTGGGGAGGGTTAAGAGATTTTACCCCTCCCTCTTTCCTATTGTACTTTCTGCTGTCTTCTTTTAATAAAATTTCTGTTAATTATCCGAAAAAAAAATTCTGGTGTGGGCAAGGAAGTGAGAAGTGGGACTCTTGCTGATGATTCTAAACTGAAGAGAGCTCACTCCAAAAATGGAGTATTACACTTTGCTTACACTCTTACAGGGAGGAGGTCAGGTGGAGACAGAGATCAAGGATCAGGTGGTTGAAAGAGGGTGAAAGTAGTACATCTTTCTTCCACAAGGTGGCTAATGCTAGGTGCAAATCCAGTTCAATTAAGGTGGAAGGTCAAGTGGTTGAACAACCGAAAGAAGTGGAGAAAGCCATTGTGATCTTTTATGAAAATTTATTTTCTGAAACATGCAAGATGCTGAAGCTGGATGGTGTGTCGCTTGATTGCCTCTCAGATTCTCAGGTGGCAGACCTGGAGCCCCCATTTGGTGAATAAGATGCTAAACAGGAAATTGATAACTTGATGGGTGATAAGGCCCCAGGATCAAATGGATTCACTATTTTGTTTTACAATAAGTTTTGGCGAGTAATAAAAGACAACCTATAAAAGTTAGTAGGGGAGTTTCATAGGTCAGCTACTCTTGAAAGAAGTCTTAACTCCACATTCATTTCTCTAATTCCTAAGAGAGAATGGGCTGAGGATTTCAAGGACTTAGGCCAATAAGCTTAATTGGAAGCATTTTTAAAATAATTGCTAAGTTATTAGCCACCGGATTGATAAAGGTCATTGGATGTCCTGTTTCCGAGTAGCTAGGAGCTTTTGTATTTAACAGACACATCCAAGATGGGGTCCTTGAGGCCAATGAGTTGATTGACTTTAGATGGAGAAGTGGAAACCCAGGCATTCTGTGCAAGATTGACCTTGAGAAAGCTTATGGTAATGTCAACTAGGACTTCATGGAATATTTGCTTAGAAGAATGGACTTTGGCCAAAAGTGGAGAAACTGGATTAAGATGTGCATCTCAACTCCAAGATTCTCCATTTTGATCATTTATCCTGCTTGTGGTAAATTTCCTTCTTTTCTTTCTCTTTGTGATGGAAGGATTGAATAGAATGACATCTAAGAGCAGGGAGGATTGATCAAAGGTTTTGAAATGGGTAATACAGGCTTGAAGGTTCTTTTGTTATAATTTGCTGATGATGCCCTCTTTTTTTCATGATGTTGAGGATCAAGTGAGGCACCTAACGTTTCCAGTTAGGAAGGTTGAAAACTTAAATATCCTGGCTGATGAGGTGAAACAATGGATTCTTTCCCTCTGGATCTGCCCCTTGGAGCCAAGTGTACCTTTAAGAGCATTTGGAATCCCATGGTGGAAAAAATGTTCTTACTACATGTCTAGATGAGGTAAAATAACTCTTATTGAGAATGTTCTTGCAAACTTGTGTGCTTACTACATGTCTTTATTTCCTATTCTTGGGGTAGTTGCTGAAAGGTTGGAGAAAGCCATGAGAGACTTTCTCTGGTCAAGCTGGAAGAATCAATCTAAGCTCATTTGGTTAAATGGGAGCAAGTATGTAGGCCTGTCAGATGTGGTGGCAATTCTCGGTGACCTCCATTGCTCTTGATCTTTAGGTTGTAGCATTGAATGGTCTTGCTAGTCAATGGCATCCTTTTTTAAAATCGTCCATTGGGTTCACTTTAATCATTATTCATCCATAATCATCTCTTTCTTTCTTGAACTCCCTTTAAAGATCCTGCTATTCATTTCTTTCAAAACCTATAAAATAGCTGTCCTGGTGCACCTCCATGAAATCTTTCTTCCCCTTGGTATTCTGTAAAATGAAGGATTAAATGGCTCAGAAACACCAGTTGGAGGATTCTACCTGCAATCAAAAGGAGAGAGAAACCCTTCTCAAATGTTAGAGAGAAATCTACAGTTGATTAACATGTGGTAAGTGGGCTCTCTATTAGTAAAACAAAGAAAACAAACATGGTGAAAAGGCACCAGTTTGTGTTTTTGTATCTTCATATCCTTAATTTTCTTTGTATCATTTTTTAGAGAGAAAGAGAATTGGATATTAAGGGTTGTTTTGGGTTTTGTCCCTCTTGAGATATGCCTTACTGTGGTCACTTTGGGAGTGGGATAGCATTTTCTCTTGTATGTAAGATTTGCATTTATAAAAAGTGCCCAAAGTTGTATATGATCTTCAGTATCACTAACATCTCATGGGACATGACTTATTCACCATTTAATCCTATATTTTGAGTTATGTTAGATGTTTCTTTCATTTTACATATTTCAATGCATGATCCACCATAAGTATGGAGAAGCTTACATGAATAAATTCCTCTGGATTTGTGGACAGAAAAGTTGGTTGAGGAACAAAGAAAGTTTGATGCTGTGATTGCTCTAGAGGTATGCTGTATAGGGTAAGGAATGGCTACATCATTTGAGCTAATATGCCTACTAGTTTTCTGTGGAGTGTGTTTTGAAACAATTTTATGCTGATGATGTTATTTATAGTAGATGACTGTATAAATTATTTATCTAACGGTAAGTAAGGATGCAAGTCGGTAACCACCAAACTTTTGCTAGAGAAAATGGAACTGTTGACAAGGAATAGTTTTTGGTGGCTCTGTTTGTTGACTATCGATATCTGAAAGAGTCTGGCTTCCATATGGTTGGTCTGTCTTTGATGTGCAATTGCCATGAAGATACCTGTCATTTATTTATCCACTAAAGGTAGCAGATTTTATGGTCTCTCTTCTTTACTCTCTATAGAAGGAAAATTTTGTAAACCTTCCTTGGGTCATGGGATCTTTCTTTTTTTGGAGCACTATTTTATTTCTAATATGTTGGGAGGACAGAAGTTAGGATTAGCAGATTATGTGCTAACACCGGTTCCTTTGTTTTGGACTGGATGATGACTTTTGAAGTAGGAAAAGCCTCGTTTGAGAGAGATTTCTGCTGTTTCCTATTCTTCTTGGACATTATTGCAGAGGATGTATAGTGCACATGGTCTCAGCCAAGCAGAAATCTTCTTATTTCTGTTTAGGCCTTCTTTCAGCACTCTTTCCTCTTGCATATCCCTTTTCTTTTTCTTTTTCTTTTTTTGATAAATCTTGTATATCCCTTTTCTTGTGCTTTATAAAATTACCATCAGAGAGAGAGAGAGAGAGAGTGTCCTGCTTAATTGTACTAGATGACTATATGAATTTGTTTATTTAATGTTAAGAAGACAAGTTGTAGTCACCAAGTCTTGTTATAAAATAGATGTGGCAAAAGAGAAAATACAATCATAACAAAGCAAGTAAGCCAAGGTGTCCTGAACACTCTTGGTGGGGGTTGGAATTAATCACTCCCTTTTTCTTTTCAAATCTTTTCAAACTGTGAAAGATCTGGTAGTTGAGATGGTTACTCAGCATTATTCCTATACCAGAGACTTAGGATCAAACCTGTGGAACTGCAGGCTCTTTATGGTATGGCCCGTGGACCTTGTGTACCTGTCCCCACCCTTGTGTTCCTACTAACCTCTGACTGAATAGCCTAACTACTAAGACTTATAAAAGAAGAACAACTACTAAGATCCTAAACAAACAAATCCTACTCTTGTCTAACTTAGTTGTAGTAGATGACTAAATTTATTCATTTAATATTAAATGAGCAAATAAGGCAAGTTATTACCCAGTATTCCATAGTTCAGTATGTCATTGCCAAATGTTTTACTCCCTCAAAGATGGGGGCACAGAGAGATGTGTGACGGGACTTGGTTTATTAGAGTGTTTTTTTTTTTGTTAAGGGAAGTCATTAATGACCAAGCTTTTCTTGTTTTAGGTCTCTAAGGGATGAATCATAGTTGTCAAGGCGACGCCTAGGCGACAAGGCGCCCTTGGAGGCTCGCCTCGCCCAGTCGCCTGGAAAATCTTGGAATACATGTTGAGGAGGATGAACTTTGGTTAGAAATGGAGAAGCTGGATAAAAGTGTGCCTCTCTTCATCATCTTTTTCAGTGCTGGTAAATCGGAGTTCTTTTGGGTGGTTTCGGAGTTCTAGGGGCCTAAGACAAGGGGACCCCCTTTCCCCACTCTTGTTTATATGTGTGACAGAAGCACTAGCCAGACTTGTAGAGAGGGCCAGATGGGGAGAGTTAATGGAAGGTTTCAACGTAGAGAATGAGGAAATGGAGATTGCACTACTCCAATTTGTAGACGGCACTCTTTTTTCTGTGACGCTTACTGGGAGCAAATATGGAAAGTAAAAGCAATATTAAGATGGTTTGAGGTGATCATGGGTCTTCATATTAATATCCAAAAGAGTGAAATAATGGCAGATGGAAATGTGGGCTGCTAATTGGGGCTGCAGAGTTGGTAATCTTTCAACAAAGTACCTGGGTATGCCTCTGGGTGAAAATTGCGAATCTAACTCCTTTTGGGTGTCTATTTTTGAAAAAGCGGATAGAAAGTTGGCCTCTTGGAAGACCAAATACTTATCAAAAGGGGGTAAAGTTACTTTAATTAGAAGTGTATTATCCTCCCTTAAACTTTATTTCCTGTCTCTATTCCCAACCTCCGCAGATAGGGCTGCTGTGTTAGAAGAAAGATGAGATACTTTCTGTGGAGGGCGTGGAAGGAAGAGTCAAAATTCCATCTGGTGAATTGGAAAAAAGTTTGATGTTCCAGAGCAAATGGGGGTCTAGGGATCAGATCAATAAATCAGGTCAACAATGCTTTGTTAGGGAAGTGGTTGTGGAGATTCAATGAACAGCCGGACAGTCAATGGAGGAAATTAATTGTAGCTAAGTATGATTCCAGTAACAGGGAATGGGAAACAGATGAAGTAAGATCGGCCTATGGGTGTTCAGTCTGGAAGGCAATACAGAAACTCAATGCTCAGTTCATGAAGGGTATAAAGTATGAAGTTGGCAATGGGGAGAGAGTGCCTTTTTGGAAGGATTACTGGTGTGGGAATGAACCGTTAGGGGTTCTATTCTCAGACCTGTTCGAGATTGCTACTAACAAGGATGCATGTGGCAGATTACCTAGAGAGGCAAAATGGGCTTTGTATTCGGAACCCCCAGTTCAGGCGAAACTTAAATGATTGAGAGGTGAATTGCTTGGTCAGTTTGCTCCAGGTTTTATATGGTTCAGGTACAGCTGGAGTATGGTTCAGGTCAGTTTGCTCCACTTTGGGGTGAAACTTCACCCTTTCCAAGCGACAGGATTTGGGTAAGGTCTGTTTCTTCCAAACTGGCTTTTCTTGTCTGGTTTGCAGTGCTGGATAAGATCCTAACTTAGGATAATTTAGTTAGGAGAAGAATGGAGGTGACAGATATGGCATGTACTTTGTGTAATGATTGTGTAGAAACTTTTAGTCATCTGCTAATTCACTGCAAAATCATTCATTGGAGTTGGACAAGATTGATGAGTTTGTTTGGGATTCATATGTGCTTCCCGGATGATGTGAAGGGATTCATGGGAGCTCGGTATTTAAGTGGTTTAAGCAGGGCTGGAAAATTAGTTTAACATACTTCCTTCAGCAGTATTTTGGGCAGTGTCGTGTGAAAGAAACAGCAGAATTTTGAAGATAGACAAAGTTCAAAAGAAGAGGTCTTTAAAAGGATTTCAGGAATAATGCATTCATGGATGGCAAACGACTCGTTATTCAAAAATAGACAATCATGTTCTTTTTTTTATCAAGATTTCCTTTTGTTAGGAGTTCATAATTTTGGTGGGGCTGATTGTTGGGTATACTGGTTTTCTTTATTCCCTCTTGTACAGATTTTCTTTGTACAGGGGTGTGCATAGTTGTATGGTTTTAAAGATTATTAATGAAATACTTTACCTTACGGTTTAAAAAAAAAAAAACATCATATCAATATGGCATGTTAAACAATTGAACATTATATGTTTTGGAAAATTGAAATTTTGACTGCAGGTAATTGAACATGTAGCGGATCCTGCTGAGTTCTGCAAATCTTTGGCAGCACTAACTGATACTAATGGAGCTACTGTGATCTCTACAATTAACCGCTCTATGAGATCATATGCAACTGCCATAGTTGCTGCTGAGTATCTCCTCCATTGGGTATGTTTATATTGTTAAATACATTTATCCATCTAAGTACTTATTTTGTCTTTTTTTTCCATTAGTAATTGGTTATCTGACCATTGGGGCTGCTTGCGACATTTTTGGACATTTTGATTTACAAGAGTTTCATGATGCGATCAAGCACTTAAACAATGTTTTACTTTATTGAGTGTGCCCCATGAATGTTGTGAGATAAGTTATGTTAAATTCTGTAAAATTAGTCACATCATATGTTCAATTATTTCTTGAAAATAACAAAGTGTTTTATGCTGTAAGACATAAAGGTAACTCTTCACTCTGTATAATGCATATAGCTTACCTATAACTTGATAATCTTGTGCATTTAAAATTTGCTAGTTGTCAAGTTGATTTGGAGGTGCCTATGCTATGGTGTCTTGCTGGAATAACTTTAGTAATCAAGCAGAATAATTTTCCAAGGGAAAACGGGGTGCTACTAATGTTGCTACAAATGCAGGATATTCTACTACCCCACATGTCTTTCTTGGTACTCCAGCTAAGAAGTTGGCTGCAGCTCAGGCTGATATTGAAAAGTTTAGCCACCTCCTATCTTAATTTGATAGTTTGTTGGGAAATTCTAACCCTTTCATTGCCTTTTCTAAGACAGATACCAAATCCTTTGCGTCAGACATCTACCTGTCCTTACCATAGTTTTCAAGACGCCAAGGCGAGGCTAGGCGACAGGGGGGCGCCTTGTTGCCTAGGCACCCATAAGTGGGCACCTAGGCGTCACCTAGGCGATGGATTTTTTTAAGTAAAAACCACATATCCTAGGGTAGTTCCCCAAGTTCCATAACCAACTTTCTTTAATAGTTATCCATAATTTTCATAAGAAAATTATAAGCTTCATGTTTAAGTCTAAAAAATCAACATATTTATGAGAAGAAAAAGAAGAAATGAAAGAAAATTCAAAAATATAGGGGCAGAACCCCTTTTTTTGTTATAGGAAAAGAAGAAGAAGAAGAAGAAGAAGAAGAAGAATTTAACAATGTCTATTTTATAATTGTAATATCAAAAAATAACAATATAAAGTATTTTATTACACAGTATGCAAAACTGCTTGGCGACTAGGTGAGGCGAGCCTCCAAGGGCACCTTGTCGCCTAGGCACACACTTAGGCATCGCCTTAACAACTATGGTCCTTACTAGGTAGTTGATTCTAGTGCATTGATCATATGACAGGTATGTCATCCTTGTTCACTTAATATCACCTCTTTTTGAGTCATGATAAAGTAACCATAGTTGTTGGTTCCTTGGCTTCCACTCTAGCAAGGTACCATAGGTGTCAAGGTGCCAAGGCGAAGCTAGGCTGTAGGGGAGTGCCTAGCCACCTAGGCATCACCTAAGCAATGTTGAAGCCTAAAAATAGAAATTCTAAGATGGAAAAATTGGACAGGTTGGAGGAAGAAACAATTTAAGAAGAGAGAGAGAGAGAGAGAGAGAGAGAGAGAGGTTGTGGCTGAAGAATGATTCATCACAAAGTGGTAATGTGGAGACAAAAATCTAGAGTGTCGTGGCTGAAGAAGAAGATAAAAATACATCTTTTTTATTTTTCAAGGAAAGTAGGAGTTTCATTTTTAGGCTAGAAGAAGGGGATGGGTGATTGATAACAAAAAGGAGATTGAGGAAGCAATAAGGGACTTTTATATGAAGCTATTCACATTACCTCAAAGTATAAAGTGTTTCTTGGAAGCCTTGGAGTTTAGATAAATTGGGGAAATGATGAGGGATTGGTTGGAAAGAGAGTTTGATGAGGAGGAAGTTGGGGGGATAGTTAAAGTCATGAAGGTGGATAAGGCTACAGAAAACTTTGGAGCATTGTTAATAGTGATTGATGTATTCAAGGAGTTTTGAAAATAAAAATTGGTGGGAAAAAGTGCAAATGCCACATTTATATCTCTTATACCTAAGGTAAAAGGTGCTTGTAAGGTGAGAGACTTCAGGCTAATAAGCTTAATATCTAGCTCATGCAAGGTAATTGCAAAAGTTCATCGAAGAAGATTAAGATCTATGTTGCATGAGATAGTGGGGCCAACTCAAATGGCTTTTTTTTTTTTTGATTAGCAACACAAAATTTTATTAAATACTTAAAGAGAGAGAGAGAGAGAGAGAGATTACAACAAGAGGTTGTTAGACCTGAAACCCTTTACAGCAAGAGAACCCCACCACCCTGTTATAATGATATCTATGTACTCCTTGATTAACTAATCCATCCACCAAACCATTAGTGGATCTTCTAACCCATATTACTTGAATGTTAACATGTCTTCACAACATCTTGAACCACCTGAAGTCATTTCTTAATTGCCATAATACCCCTTCTTCTTTCAACCACCAATTACTATCTTTGAATCCCCTTCCACAATCAACCTTGTGATTCCCATCTCTTTAGCTTTTTGCATCCCAAAAATAGCAGCACGGATTCTACTCTCACCGAATCACCCTGTTCAATTGGCCCCGAGTACATTACACATATGTTCCCACTCTCATCCCGTACCACTCCTCCAATTCCAGAAGGTCCCAGGTTGCCCAAATTGCTTCCATCAAAATTTAATTTTATCCATCCTCCAGCTGGGGGAGACTAAGCCTCAAGGAGTTTTTGTTTCCTAGAGGAGGTATTAACTATTGACCCCCAATTCCTGAAGAAGTCTTTCACTGTAAAATATGAAAAAAGTTTCATAGTCTTCACTCAATGTGCTATTATTATTGTAACAGTCTCAATAACCATCTCCTTATTCCTTTCTTTGTCCTCAAAAATTTCTTGAGTTCTTCCCCTCCCAAACTGTGCAAACTACAACTGTCCTTGCACATTTCCACAAGATTCTGCCTCTTCTCCTCCCAAATACAACAAGAGAAGGGGCAGGTAACTTTCATTAAGAAAAAGGAGAAATAGATACAGATACAAATTTACAAGTGAGCCCAAAACATAGAGTCCCTAGTCACTCCTTGTTTGGCTAACCCATCAGCAAAGGAATTAGCATTTCTTTCTACCCAATTCAATTTCACTTCAATATCCTTATCATCCACTTAAATTTTCTCCTCTCATTGTTGTAGTTCCATATGCTAGCAGTATCATCTTTCAGCCAGCCCACTACCAATTTAGAACCTCCCTCTATAACCAGTTTGGTGATGTTCAATTCATTAGCCCTTTGAGTTCCTTCTAGAACAGCTGAAATCTCAGCCCAGAGAGAATCACCCATTCCAATTGGCCCCGAAAAAGAGCTATTACCTGATGGACCTGGATTTCCAATGCTACTAAGAAGTCTGCCCATTCAACTTACACAAAATTCATCAGTTGGGAGACAAGAATCGGTTTGGTCTTTTCTTCTGCAACAAAGTACACGTGTTGATGTACCCATGGAAATTTTCCCAAAAAGAAACCACTGACTTTTGGAGGAATAGGAGCACTCCAAACTTATTTCATTGGAAAGGGAGAAGTGGTTGCAAGTTAAGAAAAGAATGACTACAAGTAAACAACCTTGAAGGACTGGAGAACCACACCCAACTATCACCTATTGAATCATCAAAAGCTAAGTTATCCAAGATATTTAGCAGACAAGACATTGAGGGGATTTCAGACTCTCTAAGGTTTCTCACCAGCCCCAAATTCCAGTTCAACCTAGTAGAGGAGAGACCCAATGAAGTCAAACATAGGTTTTTCTTCAAGACTTGAAACAGAAAACAAGGAAGAAAACACATCTTTCAAGGGGAGCTCCTCAAGAAATTAAGGGAGGATACCATGCATTGATTTCCACGATGCAACTTGATTAGATTTTTGTAGAATACTAACATCCCAACCATTTCTTGAAAGTCCATGAGTACTTGAAACCACTTTATGCCATAACCTTTCATTCTCCAAGGGGAAACACCACAACCACTTACCTAAAAGAGCAAGGCTTTTCTTGTCAATATTTCCTAGACCCAATCCACCCTCTTCCACCTAATGAGATAGCTCCTTTTTGACCCAACTAATCTTTTCTCTATCCTCTCCACAACTGGATTCCAAAAACTAGTAGACCTCAGGTTGCCGCCTAGAGGTAATCCTAAATATTTTAAAGGCCACTCCCTCTAACACCCCAAAGTCTCGGCCAAAGAGTATAATTCATCTTGTTCAACATTTATACTAACCACTATACTCTTGCTCCAATTAACTTTTAAATTAGACATTCTTTCATAGGGACTCACTACCAATTTCAAGTTTTCAACCCAACTCAACTCTCCCCATCACAAAAAAAAAATAATCAAAATGTAATCTACAAACTGAAGATGGGTGACCAACACTCTCTCTCTCCCCACCACCCAATCTATAAAAAGGTGCAATTGACTGGCCCTAAAGATCAACCTACTAAGAACCTCTGCCACCAAAGTGAAAAGGAAAGGGAAAAGGGTGTCACCTTGTCTTAGACCTCTAATGGTTTCAAAGAAATCAACCACTGATCCATTTATAATCATAAGCTTTCTCCAAGTTCAACTTATTTGCCACTCCCTTTTTCCAAGGTCTTTTTTGAGCCTTTACACATTTATTTGCAATAAGAATTTGATCCACAATCTACCTATCTTGAATAAAGGCCCCTATTGAGTGATAATTGAAGTAAGTACTTTCTTAATCCTCAAAGACAACACCTTAGAATGACTAGTAACCAAACTAGTCATTGGGGAGCTAATATATTTTATCTCCCCTCTTGTATCCATATTTCCTCTTTTCTCTTAATTTAATGAAGCTGGTGTAATTGATCAAAAAAAAAAGACAACACCTTAGAAATTATTTTATAAATGCTAGTAACCAAACTAATTTGTCTAAAATCCTTCAAATGACTAGCATTAGACTTTTTTGGCACCAAGGTAATAAAGGTAGATTTTTTTTCCCAAATCAATTATACCCCTCCTATGAAACTCTTTAAACACTTTGATCAAATCCACCCTAATAATCACCCAACAACCCTGATAAAAAGCCATTGTAAATCCATTTGGATTTGGTT